ACACACACACACACACACACACACACACACACACACACACACACACACACATACACCTACACATACACACACTCACACAAACGTTCTCGCACAAACAGACAAACAAACAAATACGCGTACAAGGCGGTGAACGAACTCAATGAATTACACAAAATTCAATGATAAGGAAACATTCAAAGGAGAGGCCAAGAAACCGTTGACTCATGCCGAAATTTACTTGTGTGGCATCCTGGTGAAATCAGGCGCTCGTCAAATTAATCAAATCGAAGAAACCGATATTTTCCCTCCCTCTGGGCAACTTCTATCGATTTTTTTTTGGGCTCAACACCTTAACTGTTCATTTTAAAAACACATTCCTGCAAGGATTTTTATTGAAAAACGTTGAGCACGAAAAAAACGTAATTTGCAGTTTCCAAGGACACTACAGCTTTGGAAGTCATCAAACTTTAGCGCTCATTTTCTTGCAAAATTGGCCTCCGACACAAGCCGACCCATCCACCTCCTTCACTCGCAAATATCTCGTTTTGGTTCAAGATGGTAGGGTATTTAAAAAAATGAAAACCAATGCAAATTAACAGGCTTTAAGATGATATCAACACCTCCATAATCTGTCAAAAAACCTGACGAGCGCCTGATTCCACCGCGTCATGACACATTTAATTTGGATTTTGTTTCCCTACCAGGCACTGCGACCCCAAAGACATTCGTATCTTGCACGAACCCAGCGCGGTTCATAACGTTCGACACTTCAGCTGTTGACACATTCTCCCCTTTCCACCTGTAGGGAAAAAAAAGAATATTGAAACGCTTTAAGTCGCTCTTCACGTTGGCAGAAAACAAAATAAAACGTCTTTTTTCAGAATAACTTTTCATTCCCTATAAGTTAGACGATGTGAGTTTGATACTAAGAAAAAACTCCATTTACCCTCATATGTGATTTTTTGTTTGTTTGTTGAGGTTGTTGCAACAAATCGATTTTTGCTTTTCGAACGTCGCCAAAAATCGGTGCGCCTGTAGCAGTCTCATTTTCTAACACTAAGAAAGTAAGCATCATTAACTTTCTATCATAGTCTGAATTCTAAAGCATTCTCGTGTGTATGCTTCTGTGACCGTCTTGAAAGTTGCTTACAACGAAAGGTATTTTTTTCCCCGCTTACATTTGTTTCAAGTCTGACTCATGGAAAATGAATACCGCAATTTTGCTAAAATTTCACTGCAATTCACACAGACAAGGACAAAAAACAAAACAAAATATTGTTTACTTATGGTCAGATGCAAACCATTCTATCCGTCCTATTTAGACAAGCTAATATAAGCTCAGTGTCAAAAATCGAAATAAATAGATGATGTCTATCAAAGGTTATTACAACAAAAAGCCGTTTAATTAAAAAAACCCACAACAAAACAGCCTGTAGGAGTGGGCAGGATAAAAATTCCAGTGTCGAGAAGCGGAAAACGAAGAAGAGCA